CGTGATGGTTGTGGTTCTCGCCGTAGCAGCTGCGGTGACAAGCGTGCTGCTCAGGGTACGAGTCGGAGCCGGGAGAAAAGTTCGAGATGGGGAAAGGCGGGATCTCCTCGTAACTGCCGAGCTCGAACGAGTTGGCGCCGTCTGACGAGTCAGAATTTGTCCTCAGGTGCAGAGTCTGTCCAGGGTTGAAAATGGCGGCGTTCTGCTGCGCCTGCTGGAACTGGTTGAAGCTGCCAGCGTTGTTCTGGTCGCCAACCATGATCCAGCTGCCCTCGTTGGAGCTAGCCAGGGACAGGACCTCAAGAAACGTGCCGGTGGGCGAACTGCTGCCGACAGTGTGCGGCAAGGAGCCAAGTTGCATGGGGGGCACAGCAGCCTGAAGATCTTGCCAGTTGTCCATGGGAAGGTTGGGCCAGGTCATGGCGGGGACGCTGTCGTCCATGGGCGGCATGGAGTTGAACGCCGCCGCTTGCAAAAAGTTGGTGGGCAATTGCTGGGTTGTTGCGGGCAGGTAGCTGATGGGGTTGATGGGCGCAAAGTTGGAGGCAAAGCTGTCGTAGGTCACAGGCATGAAAGGGTCGGAGATGTAAGATGAGAAGTCGGGCGTGGACTGCTGGTGCTGTTGCAGGTGCTGTTGCAAGGCAAAGTCGGTGAGCATGCTGCCGGGCTGCTGGTATGGCGAGGACTGAGACAGCGGCGAGGCGCTCTGCGCAGGCGAGCTCGAGTGGTGCTGGTGATGATGCTGGTGGTGCGACTCGGGTGGGCTCGAGTGCTCGATGGCGCCGGAACTCATGTCGAGGGGCATAGGCCAGATTCGTTGTGCGGGCATGGCGCCGTGAGAGGACTGGGGACTGCTGTGGCCTGAAGTTGAGGCCATGTGCTGCTGATTTGAAGACATCTGGTGGGTGAACTGCTGAAACTGTTGCCGTTGGTCGTCTCCCAAATCCCAGAATGCGTCTCCTCCGCTGGTGTTGAAGGTCATGTTGTTCATCGTGACTGATGGGACAAGAGGGGGGACAGCCCAGGTGATAGGGTTGGCGGGTTCGTGGGGATGTGGGAGGTTGGTTCGTGATATGCTATCTCACCGCCAGACACCGCTCTTTTGCCGGGGTCTTGGGATGGGGAGAAAAAGGAAGCGTAGCGTTGGAAGGGGCTCTCCACGGGTAAAACGGGGAGAGAGGTTTTGATCGAGGAACAGACGAGGTTGGGGGTGCGGCAAGAGGTTCGAGGAGGAGGAGTCGAGATCAGGACGACCAGGACGGGACGGGGGGGGTTAAGCGACAAGGACTACGGAGAGACACGACCCCCCCAGATCTGACTTGGGGGTCTCGTCCTTTGGACCTGCTCTGACCTGGACCTGTGGGCGGTGCGGGCGGGCAGGTGTGGGAGGAGAGGAGCGCGAGGACGAGGCAGGAGCGACTCCACGAAACTGGCGGTGAGAGAGATGCAGTTCAACATCCAGCCCCAGCCGAGAGAGCGAACCAATCAAGGGTCCATGCGCAGCCTCTGCAGCTGCAAAGTGGTGGGGCATGGCGACAGGGGCCTAGCTGCTCACGCGGGCGCCAGGGCCAATCGCCGCCTGCCGTTTGGTTCCTCCGTGTGTCCATGTCAGTCTCGAGATCGGTTCGCACTGTATTTTGGGCGGCACACAGTGGGGTATGCCTCTACGCTTTCTCCATCGCCGTGCAGCGCTTGCCGAGCCCATGAGCCCACCGGGCCCTGGCTGTCCAGACCGCTCTCTCGTCGTCGCCTCCAGGGCTTTTTTTCTCAACTAAAATAAGGGACATGGGCAATCGTGAAGACGCGCCGACAGGCAGTCCACCTGTGAGGGCCGGAACTGTGAAGAGCCTCCATGCCGCCGACCCCTTGAACCCCGGTTATTTTGCTACCGTGTATCTTTTTTTTTTTTTAATTGTTATACACTTTACCTCGTTTTGGTTTTCCCTGTTTCCAAGTTGCACCAGGAACGCTGAAGAGAACCCACTACCCACCTACCTACTCGGGGACCTTAAGCATGTTGCAAGATCCACAACGGGAGTCTCTGCTCGCCTAGCCTCGATAATCCTCCGATTCACGAATCGAATCAGGTGAACTCGCGTCCGAGCCTGGATGAAGCAGTTATGGTTCCAAGGCCGGCGGCAATAGACTAACAGTAGCTGAAGTCGATCACGAGGTGGGCCGTCAGGAATGTCAACTGGGTACTGGGTTTCAGTGCAAAGCCCCTCTCTCACCAGCAAGGCCCCTCTCCCTCACACGCAGGGGGCTTTGAAAGAGTGGGACATGGGTATTCTGCGGCAATTGCGGCTCTCGTCATAGCAGGGTGTGATTGCTGTTCTTCTGCTTTGCTTGAATTCCACGTCCCTTTCCGGCTCAAGTTTTCAAGGCTATCAAACTGCCTCGTGTTTCCGAGAAACGAGCGACAACAAAGGAAACGGACGTAGCATGGAGCACGACACACGGAGCGGGCAGAAGGCCGACTTTGCAATCCGTACCAACTTGTTCCTTTGAACACGGTATCAGAAGGATGCCGTTGAATGCAGTCAGCCTCTCGCACGGTATAGCACTGTTCCGTCAACAAGTCGTCACGCCTCACACATGCTGGGTGTGTTGCGAGCCTTTCCGTGTACAGTATGATGTAGGCATTTGCCGAGGGGAGCAACAAAGGGAAGCGCTGTTTAACTCTCGCAACGGTCCCTCCTCGAGACTGAGGGCCACGAGCCACCTCACGCTGCCATGGCAGCTTGATCGATCGCCCCCAGCCATCCCATCCGATTGTGGGCCTTTCCCATCCACGCCAGCTCGGACAAGCGAGCCAACTCGTCATATCATCGCAGCAAGCAGAACAGTGTCTGACTACTGAGTTTCGCCCTCACAGCTGCATTCCAACCTACCGTTGCCAATTGCCCATGTGGCTCTTGGCCGCAGCCCATCGTATTGCGCACATGCCATGTCCGCGATTGAGTTGCCATCTTGATCGCAACGAGCTGGCACTCCCCCTTGCAGACAATGCCGTTGTCACCAGATCACATCGCTGATGCCTCTTTCTGGTCTGTGCGGCCGATGACGCGAGGGGCTGGAAACCCCCCAGTGACCGACCCCCTCCGAATCCTCAATCCTTCATCCTTGGACAACGCATACTTCTAAAACCTCTCCCTCCTGCCAACGGCCATCCTGTCTGGGGTTCATTGAGTGGCATGTATCACTACGCATCTCTACGTTGATGGAAGCCCTTGTCTTTCGGCTTTACACGCAGCTGTCGACGTCGGCCACGCAGGATGCTCCTGAATATTCGAAAGAGGTACATCTATCTCGCGTATCATTGCAGTAGAGGAAGCGAGGCAGAGCCCTTGCTTCGCCTTCGTTGATTTGCCTGGTCCTGGGGCGGTGCCGCTGCTTCACAGAAGCTTGAGGTGCTGGCCGTCAAGATACCTGGCTTCATCACTGAGAGGTAGGCTCGTGGCAATTTCAAGACCTGGATTTCGGTCTTGCAGGCGCTTGGCAAGCGTTTTCTTGACCCAACTTACTTCAACTCGCGGGCAACAATGAGGCGTGCAAGCTACGCAAGCTTAAGGTACGAGGCGATCCGCTAGATCTACCAACTCGGAGCCTGTACTGTAGACACGATTCAAGGCGCACTCCAGCTAGAAGAGACTGCTATATGTGCAAGACTCCGAATGCACTTCCAGGCCCAGGTTCGGCAGCAGGTGTGGAGGGGCAGAGAGGGGCTGGACGGGGTAGCCAGCGCCTCGACCCATGATCTATCCAACAGCTAGCCCGGACGACGAAACAATGGATTGCCCCCCCCCTCTCCTCATCAATAGTGCCAGTCCATTAAGCATCCCGATACAGTCGACAACCTCACATCGGTGACAGCGGATTCCAGGGTCCATCTGAGGCCGAGCGCGACAATTGCCCGTTTCTGCCCCCATTTCTCCGCGACACAGTGCATGGAGCTCCCAGCTCGAGCTACGACGATCAGTTCTAGTTCGCCAGCCTCTACCGCAACGCACGTCTCGCCAATTGGCTTCGCCGAGATCACCTGCAGGAGATCTGCATCCAGGCCTCCGAACAGACTGGCCTATTTCCGGCTGTCAAATCATCTTGATCGCTGGTCGCTGCTGCAGTCTGCCAACGACGAGGCAAAAGCAAGCAAGTGGCGTGGCAGTGAAGGCGGGCCTTTCATCTTGAGCGCGCGCGTTGAGTGAACAAGTAGAGTCAGTTGCTTTGCTCTGTGGTCGAGCTGAGGGACTGCCCAAGACCCGACGATAGGCTCGACGTCCAGAGACATGGCACCAGTTCAACGACGGCGCCTGCTGCTGCTGAATGCCATTGGCGTCGTGCCACCCAGGTACGCATGCTCGGTTGCCCGCAGCTAAGGCATGAAATCCCCCCCAGCATCATCCTGCATATGGACGACCTCCAACCGCTGGTCAGCCTCTGGCACTTCTATTCACCTGGCCCTGTCGCCTCTAATCAGTCCCTCTCTTTCCGTCTCCCAGTCCCTGTGGCACCTCATGGCACGTTGTCTGAGACATCAAGATATGGGTGTGTGTGATGCCGCCATATGACGGGCTTGCGCTCTCGCCCGTCTTTGCGGCCCTGGACGTCGGACAGACACCACCTACAGCCCACCCCACAGGACGCTGTGTTGCGACGACCCCGCGATAGAGGATGGCTGAGATGTCTCACTGTGCCGAGCGTTGCACAGGACCCCTCTATAGGTACGCTATTCGTGCAGAACTGAATCAGGTTTCGAACCATATTCCGACCAGACACACGCCATTCCTCCCTGTTGTTTACTGCAACTGGCTCACCGAGTACTCGAAAGACGGCAGATACTAGGTGCATCCCCGTCAACGATGGTGCACGCGTCGTAGTTACCCCGAAGGCGTGCCATACACGGGGAAAAGCAACACCTCCCCCCCTCCTACCCTTCCTTGCGGCCACGGACACCTGCAACGAGCATTCCACCGAATATGCGGTGTACAAGAGGCCGGTTCCCTGGCCCGCAACGTGACGGTATCGTGGTGGCGTGGCCCGCTTCCCCCTAATGTAGCGAGTATCCACACCATCTCGCTCGAGCCAATCCTAGGGGGAAAGATGCACGAGTGGCAGCCGACAGCGAGACTTTGCACAAGCGATGCTCTTTCTGGAATTCTGTGCTGAAGGCGGGCATGTGCAGCAGCCGTACTAACAGCCACACGCCTCTGCACGTAATGCCTCACTCACTCTCAACATCGGATGGTCGCAAGCACTGGGGGCGAGGCTCATGACTCGGTGGGGGCATTCTTTGGATTTGTCTTGGTCGTTGAAGCGTGATCACAAAATCCACGGTTGGTGCCTGACGAATACAGTTGGATTGAGATTAGTTCCGACGTCTGGAACGGGTACCTGGCAGAGATGGAACCGATGAGGAGGGGTTCTTCCCTCTCTTCCTCCTGGACCCCGTTCTGGCGCGTGTGACTGACGCTGTCGTCGCGGAGGGTGTATCCAGGAGCAAAGTCCTTCCTCCAGGTCTGCCGTGGCGCGGGCGGGTTGGGCTGAGATTTCTTTTCTCCTCCGCATACCCTTTGGGCATGCTTTGCTGCAACTGCAAGACGTACAATGTGGTTATCATGGCGGTGGCGCCCGGCATGGATGCGTCTCACATATGCACATATGAGCTGTCTGTACAGGACAGCTGCTTTTCATAGGATGCAGAGCGATTGCTTGCAGGGTGACCGGCAGGGTCTTGGAGAAGCTACTTTCCGCAGTGGGAGGCGAGATTGTCGCCTGCAGGCCGAGCCATTGGGAGGTCAGCATGGTCGGGCTGCTTCAGCACATGAGCAACATATTCTGTTGTCTGTAGTGGATGACGTGCTTCGAGCAATCCCGTCCGATGTTAACGAATGGAATGCATCTGCTTCTGCAGTCCTACCCTGCAAATCATTTGGTGGCGAGCTTGCACAACTCGGCCAACTGAAATTTGTTGCGAACTAGGTATGAACATACAGTGAAGCAGCAGATTCAGGAGTGCGCCATGAACTGCATCAGGACTGAGTTGAATTGGATATAAAGTCAAGACAATCAAGTAAATGATTGCGTCTAAACCATCGTCATGGGCTCGAGTTGGTTTGGTGCAAGAAGGGACTAACGGACAATTGCGGTCACCCTCTGACCAGTCTCAGGCCATTCCCGGCGCCCTTGCTCTTATGTTCGGTCTTGCTGTGGCAGTTGTGGGAATCTCAGAGTTTCTGGATGTGTTGCTCAAGGAATATCCCAATCCCCTTTCTCAGGTTATAATAGCTACAAATCAACGTCTTTTAGTACTCAGGCTCCAGAGTTGTAGATTGAATAAATCTGGGGGAAAGCCCCGCAACAACAAGACAGACTACCTGACGCCAGCTGTGAATGACTTTGTTTGAGCCCATTCTTTTCTTCACAAGATGGATATTCATTGAAGTTTTCACACAGACGAACATGACAGCCTGACGAGCCTTATTAACCTTATTGCTACGCATATATTGTTCTGTTGAGATGGATGTTTGTGACAGCGTCAGTCCATCACCCCTAAGTCTGTGGCGATAGGCAGAAAATCAGCATAGTCGTAAAAGCATACTTGGCAACACTATGCCATCCATGATGGTATGGAAAACCTATACGCCCGAACCAGCCCTCCTCGTCATCAGTGAGATTAGGGAATCCGCAATCGAGCTCGATGCAATGTTTGCCGCGAGCCATTTCTGCATATGAAGCAAATTTTGAAGCATGGCGGCAACGTGAAAGAATGCGCTAGGGTAGGTGCTTGTGATTGTAAGGTTAGAAGTGAGGCAGCTAAAAGCGAGCGGCAGCTCTTGGTTCGATCAATGCAGGCGGAATGGCCGGCCGATCTCCTGAAGTCTATACTGGTCAAGACTCAGTTTTTCGAATAGACTTGTTGTACTCTGCTAAAACATGATAGGGGCAGAGTGACTTGATATTTTGACCTACCACGGACATTCGATGATACAAAATGCGTTGCACGAGTAGCTAGAACAACCTCAATGTGAATATCTTTCAATTGGACACCCGCTAGGCCTTTTAGTAGGTTAGCAGGGGAACATAGTAGGGTTCTGAAGTTTTGTTATGTTTGTTAGGTTCGTATGTGAAGACTATGTAGAGATGGACGCAGGCTCCGGGTGTGGTATCGAGTCAAGAGAATTGGAACTGTGGCACGGAGGGAACGCCATCTCCTTTGTTGAGGTCATAACTTCCCAAAGGCAAACTTCAACTGACAAGTGGCGAGACGCTTCAAGAACCCCCCCCCCAACACACACCTCCACCCGGCCCGAACTACATATATTTATTGCAAAAGAGATGTGGTTTATGAATAATAGATATAAGGATGAAGTGGTCAAAGCCCAGAGTGGTGATAGACTTCGTGCTTTACATTCTGCTCAAGCAAGGTATTGTGGTCAACTTCCAGAGAAAGTCTGTGCCCTGCTGTCAATAGAGCTCAAATTTGACTCCAGAACCACTTGGGTTGGTCCAATCGTCGAGTCTCTAGCGTAAGTGACGCGTCGCTGACTCTAATCAGCCAGCCAACTTGCTACTAGAGATGATCCAGTTTCAGACTATCTACAGACCAAAACTTAGTTAAGAAGCTTGATAGGCATCAGACATGAGCTCCATTTTGACATTTGTAGACTAACAATTCCATGTTTTTGCCCTCGGAAACAAGGGTCATGGTCATGGAAGATATCTTCGGCTCGATAAGTGTCTTCAAGATTATTAATGTTATGGCACCGACCCAACGCGACATGTGAACTGTGCCCAAGGTAATCAAAGATGATATGTTCGAGGCATATAAAACAACAGCGTCTTCTAAATCGTGCTTGATCCAATTTGTGAGGCACAAGTAACTCCAATTCAAGCATGTCGATCTCTACAAAGCAGCGGTGATGGAGGCGCGAACGATCTTCTTTTCCTATTATCAGAGCGGAAATCACAGGACAGGAAGGGCTTCGAATGACACGCGTTTTTAGGATGTCATGCTCTAGAGAACAGGTCTAACTGTGCGTGGCTTGCCAAGTTGAACAGGCTTTGTCAAGCAATTGCTGCATCGAGTCTCTTCTGGTTACGAGCTCTAGAATGGCGTATTGACAGTTTCTGAAGGAGGTCAAAACACATCGTGAAGGTCAAGAAATGCCGTAGCGTGTTTTTGATCACTGCGAGCATTGTGATGACTATTCACTGCCTAAGCACATGCTACACATGCTACACGTCTGCCCAAGACCCCGAGCGATGGTCACTCGGCCGAGTTATCGCACGTGGCTTCGAGACATGACCCTGAAAGAGGCTTGCCAACCCACAGTCAACAAAGAAAGGGGCTCTTCTGGCCTACCAACCAAGGCTTGGCTACCTGATTGTCATAAGGCCCAGCTAGAGCGGGCCGAGACAAGCCTCAAGTTGAGCCACACATTCCATGGACCAATCAGAGCTCTCGAGCTCCACACCACGGCCAACCTCACCCACGACTGACAATGACAAGGCGAAAACCATCTTGTGATTGTTCTCATGTCAGCATAGCTTCAACTCGACCGATCAGTCTAATCAAAGGGAAAAGGAAGCTACGAGACATGGAGAGCATGAGAATGAATTGAACTGAGAGCTCGGGACGACGTCGACAGCCACTACAAAACCCCTCCCCCCCCGCCCCGCCAACCCCTCCATGTGGTGAAGCATGAGCAACAGCAACAGTCACAGCAACAACAGTAGCGCGACCAGCACAAGCCGCCGAGTCAGACCGGAGAACCACCGCACCAGAGTCGCATTCAGGCGCAGTAGACCATCAGCTGCTGCCATGGCTGCCGCTTCTATGCCAACAGACACGGGGCGACCCGCCGAGAGCGAAGCAATAGTGGTGGATGGGAAAGACGATGGCTTCGTCGATATCTCTGCATCCGAGTCCGACGAACAGGAACTGCTGGCATCGGAGATGAAACAGGCAGAGCTTTCTCACCCGTGCCCGCGATCTTTCACATCCCCCGCCCGCCCATCAAAGAATCACACCGGTCGCACACGCTGACCCCAGCAGAATGGCGACTATGCATGAGTGCCTCCCCGCTCCTCGCTGGCTACTCAGACACTCTCGAGCTCAACCGCCGCGGCGGTACCAGGCTTCGACGTGAAGCTCACATAAAGTATCTCACAAGCAGCTCGGGAAGCTGCCTGCCCCCTATCTCATCGCGGATGCGAGTCGGCCATGGTTCCTCTTCTGGTCCCTGAACGGCTTGGCTCTGCTCGGCGAGGACGTTTCCATGTACAGGCAGCAGCTCATCGATACGGCGAGGGCCATGCAGAACCCAAATGGTGGCTTCGGTGGCGGCCACGGGCAAGTGTCGCATCTCGCCACCACCTTTGCGCTGATCCTCTCGATCGCCATCGTCGGCGGCGAGGATCTCTACGAAGTCATCGACCGGAAAGCCATGTGGAAGTGGTTGTGTTCCCTCAAACAGCCCGACGGCGGCGTGCAGATGGCGTATGGCGGTGAAGTCGACGTGAGGTAAGCTCATACGCTCCCCATGATGTGCGCCGATGCAACACGACGGCTCACGGCGCCATCTCGCCATACGAAAACCACGCTTACCTGTTGTTCCTTTTCCCGCTTGCTTCCAGGGGTGCCTATTGTACCACCGTCATCGCTGGCCTCCTGAACATGCCCCTCGAACTGTCGCCCGACTCCCCGGCCTACACCCCCGACGGCAAGACCACCCTCTTCACCGGCCTAGCCGAGTACGTCCGTAGATGTGAGTCAAACCCTTATTCTCCTTTGTCTCGGGCTGGCTGGCAAGCAGGCACACTAGACCTGCCCCTGTCTATTGTTGCATGTCAAATTGAGACACATTCCGACTGACACACCCACCCACCATCTAGGCCAGACCTTTGAAGGCGGCCTCGGAGGCAAGCCAGACACGGAAGCACACGGAGCATACACATTCTGTGCCCTGGGCTGTCTCGCCATACTTGACGCCCCGCACCGAATCATCCCAAAGTGCGTCCCCCTACCACACCCAAGCCGCCCGCAGCCCCCCCTCCTCCCCTTTCTCGTCCACTTAGAGCATGCCACACATAATGGTCAAGCAAGGCAAGCACTGGCGCTGACGCAGGCAAAAACACTTCACAGGTACCTCGACGTGCCACGACTTATCTCCTGGCTCTCCTCGCGCCAGTACGCCCCCGAGGGCGGCTTCAGTGGTCGGACGAACAAGCTCGTCGATGGTTGCTACAGCCACTGGGTCGGCGGCTGCTGGCCCCTCGTCGATGCCGCACTGAACGGCGCCAGCGAGCTTGACGAAAACGTCGGTGACGATGAGGGGGACTGCCAGCTAACAGTCAGC